GGGCGGTGCCTGTGGGGTGGGGTGCCCGGGGCCGGACACGGGCCGGCAGCAGCCCCGGGCCCCCGAGCGCCCTCCCGCCCTGAGCGCGGCCGGGGTCCGAGCCCGCGGGACCGACCCACCCCCGCCGCGCTCTCCCCTCCGAGCTCTTGAGCTCATCAAAGCGCTGAACAAAGCCAACAGCACTCCAAGGCGGCTCGGAGCTCAAGCACTCGCTGAGTGCATTAAGTGGTTTAATATCGTGGCTGGAGCAGTGGGGGGAGGCAGTGCCACGCGTCAGACGTCTCACCAGCACCCGGCAGGGACAGCGCCGGGGCAGGATACGGCCCGGGTGGCGCTGGGGGCACCGGGGCGCAAAACATCGGGAGGATCCACGGAGCATCGCTGCAGGCCCCGGTGCTGCGGGGGGACCGGAGGGGTCAGGGTGATCGGCCCCAGCCCAGGCACCACGTGGATTTATAGCCTTGGGGACAGGGGTGCACCGAGCAGGGCAGTGGCATGAACAGGGGCCAGCGGCTGTTCCCCCCTGGCTACTGCCCCATGGATGCCATTAGGCTGCAGGGACGGCACCATCATCCCACAGTGGTGCAGGGCTGGGAATAATCACCAGGAAGGAGAGCCTGGCTTGGTGAGCTCCTTCAGCAGGGGCTGCTGCAGCCCGGCAACAGCTACGAGAGGTGGGAGCTCTCAGCTCCCTCGGCATCCTGACTCTGAGCTGATAAAAAGAGAAGGACTGCTGTGCCGAGCCAGACGGAGGGCCAGCAGCCAGCTCTGCCAGCACTTGGGAAAGGTGGCAGGAGAGAAGGTCCCCAGGTTCCCCAGGGAACAACCCTCCCCTCTCCCTGCAGCCCCTGGTTTCGCCATGCGTCCTCTGCCTGCCATGCCCAGGCCTCTCCCAGCAGTGAGTGGGCGCTCCCTGGCAGGGCGAGAGCTCTGATTTATGGAGCTTCTTGGCACATTGCTCTGCCTGGCTGGGAGCAGCAGCTCTGACCAACTGCAGACCCTCGCCAGGAGTGGGCCCTTCGGCACGGCTGCCTCTCACTGGCCACAGGAGTGGACCTGGGAAAAGCTGCTGGGACCCTCCAAACGGGGCACGTGGGGAGCAGGAACCAGCCAGGGCCTGGAGGGGTCTGGGCAGGGATGTCTCAGGGGCAGTGGTGGGGAAGGGGGACAGTGGTGTCCTGGCTGGACCCTGGGCTCTGCACTGCCGGGAAGAGGGCAGACAGAGCCCAGGAGAGGAGGACAAGGCTCATGGGAAGGGGAGGCTGGAGAACAAAAGGCTGGTGTTTGCCTTTCCTCCACCCTGCACAACGGTGGGTAAACAAGGTGCAGAAATGGTTGAGTTCCCTTGAGATAACAAAGAGCACTGGAGCTGGGCCAGCCCTGCCCGCTCGGCTCGGGGCCAGCCATCTCTGGGGCACAGAGGGGAGCGGGGTGCTCAGAGCTGCCTGCTGCCTGCACTGAGCTTGCCTGGGCTCAGCTCGGGGCAGGGCTGCCAGGTTTGAGGCAGAAGAGGAGCTGCAGTGGTCGGGCAGAGACGCTGAGGTCCTGAATGCCCCAGTTCCCAGTGAAGGGACAGCAGGAGAGACCCAGTGCTCATGGCAGGAGCTGGCACAGGTGCTCACATCTCAGGCACCTCATGGACATGGGCTGTGCTGGGGGCATCCGTTCCCAGCAGTGCAGGCAGGGGCTACAGCCGGCCCCACTGCCGGCACAGGGCTGCCAGAGACCGGCGCTTGCCTGTGGCACTGTGCTGCCACAACCACTGTGTGCAGCAGGAGCTGCCTGACCCAGAACAGAAACGGGCAGAGAACAAACACTTCGAGGGCCAGCAGAAAAACAAGGTTTCCAGGGCCTCCAAAATGGCCTCTGGACCCTCGCTTGGCACCCAGCAGCGTGGAGCCGGGAGGGGTGCCTTTCCTCGCCTGCCTCCCCCTCGTCCAGGGCTCTGGATGGATCTGGGCAGCGTGGGATGCCAGGAGGGGACAGCTCTCGGGGCTCCAGAGCTGCCTCCCAGGCAGCGTGATGGGGAGCCGGGCAAGGGCTGGGCGAGACGGACAGGGGTCCCTCGTACCGGCCTGGAGGCTGCCGGAGGCATGCGGCACCTGGCAAGGCCTGGGCATGGCACCATGGGCAAGCGACGCCTGGCTGGGGACGCTGGCAGGGCTGGGGATGCCGGCAAGGCTGGGGACGTGGCTGGTGGAGCCGGCAGTGTGCTACCACCTGCTGGAAACTGGGAAGGAGAGAGCCTGGCAAGGAGAAAGGGGCTGCTGCCAGGGCCCTGGGATCCCTCCAGGGCAGGAGTGCTGCACACAGCTCCTCTTCTCCAGCTGGTTAGCTATTTCATGAAACTTGCTGAGCACCAATGTCAGAGTCTCTTACCCCTCTGTCCAGGAAAACTGAACTGGACAGTGTTTGTTGTCAGCACATCTGGAGACCGACAGAGGGACAGTTGGTCAGGGAGATCCCCAAGGCCCTGGGAGTGCAAGGAGGCCATGACCCTCTGCAGTCGCTCTTCTGCGGCTTCCAAACCTTCCCAAAACACCTTGGCCTCCCCAGCATCACACAGGCTGAAGGAGCAGTGCTGAGAGGCGAGTCGCTCTCCGCTTCAGCCCTGCGTTAACTCTGGAGTCTACAGACTGCTACTCCAAACACACCAGCAGCCACCAGTGGTTTCAGCACATGTGCTGCTATCCACTTCGCTCCACCATCGCCCAGCCCCAGCCTCCCATGGGCCCAGTGAAGACCAGTCCAGAGCAGAGCCGCGCTGGGGGTGCAGAGCACACAGAAAGAAATCCAATTTCAGATGGGAGCACTCCCTGGTACTCAGACTGCATTAGTCATGTCCATATTTAACTCAATAAAGGCCTCATATTTGTTTTAATTGTTTTTTTGCTTCAAGAACACTGCTGTGCGGCTCCCAGCCTGCCTCCCCCCACGGGGTCTGGCCCTCATGCCGGGCGGCCGTGGGGCACTGCCCCACAGCAAGACCCTCTCGAGGAGGGTCCCCGAGCCCCTGCACAGCGGCCCTGCAGGCCGGGGCAGGGGGAGCAGAGTCCCCTGCACCCCATGGCCGTCAGCACTGCACAGCAGCCTCAACCAAAGCAGTTAAACCCCTAAAATAAACACTCCACCAGCCTTTCAGGCACCTCACGGCAGCATTGGGGAGGCGAGCGGCCAGGGCAGAGCCAGCAGCAGCCGGTGAGAGGCATGGGTTCGTTCTCCGACGGCAAAAGAAGTAAGTCCGGGCTCTTGCAGCCTTTTCCTGCCTCTGCTATTGAGGGAACAGCGCAATTATATTTGCAGACGCATTACTACATGACAAAAAATAGCAGCCGAGATGGAAGCACCACGTCCCCGTGGGTATTCAGCTATCAATGGAAAATTACACATTCATTACTGGGCTTTATTTAGGGGCTTATTTTATTCATTGACTCAGCCAGCACCCGGCAGCACCGTCCTGGGAGGGGCCGTCCCCAGCGAGGGGCAGAGGGTGCCAGGGTGAACCTGCTCCCCGAGGTGGGTGCCGGCGGTGCAGTGGCAGCACCAGACACGCAGGGCAGAGCTGGGTGGGCTGCTGGCACCCGCCTGGGGCAGGGGGAGCAGAGGGGACCCGGCAGGACCCTGGAGCCAGCCAGTGCCGGGGCTGGTGCCGGACCTGCCAGGAGGCTGCTGCCCACCCGGTGCACCAACGCCGCGGTTCACAGTGAGGCCACACCGCCGGCTCGGGCAGCCTCCCACTGCCAGGCTCCGGCAGTGCTGGGGCAGCCTCCTCCTGCCTCCACTGATTCCAGCCAAGCGCCTTTTCTACCCGCCAGCCATGCTGCGCAGCCGGGAGCCATGGCCAGGCCCACTGCGGGGCTCTCGCTCCGCCGGCTGCCACATTCATTAACAGGAGACGAACAGCAGCTCGGCTCCGGGCTGCTCGGTGCCAGCCCGGCTGCAGCAGGAGCCAGGCCAGGCCTTGCCAGGAGGCTCCGAGGCGAGCGGCTGCATCCTGCCCCTGGGCAGAGGTGGGATGTGAGCCTGCAGGCAGCGGGAGCAGGCAGGGCAGGGAGATGCCAGGTGCAGGGAGGAGATGCCATGCAGGACCAGCGCCCTGGGGCCAAGCCCTGGGTGCTGCAGCCCCCTCCAGAGCTGGGGGGGGGAGCGACCCACGTGCAGAGGGGGGACAGGGTGACCCAAGGGGGCAGAGCCAAGTCTGAGCGGACAGAACAGGACCAGCTGCCACAGCCAACGTGACGTGGGACCAGCCAGGAGCTGGTGGTGATGGAGATGCCATCCCTGCACCCTCTGCATCCCCAGCGTCGTCGAGCCCCCAGGCACAGGAGCCGGCAGCAGCAGCCCCATCCCAGCACCATACCTGGGGGCGGCACGAACAACCGGGGCACCTTGCTCATTTCCACGTTTAATTAGAAACGTATTCCAAACCACGAACCCACGCCAAGTGCCAGACACGCTGGAGAATGGGCTGTGTATGCCATAAAAACCCGCTGAAGCCCCGAGCCGGCCGGGGGGGGTCCCCGGGGGCTGTGGGACACCTCTCCTCCCGGCAACCCCAGCCTCACGAGCCAGCACCGGTAGCTCGCCCCTGCCCTGTGTCTTCCCCGCCGCAGCTTCATCCTGGCCCCAGCCTGGGGAGGGCTGCAGGGGCTTGGGACCGCCGGGAGCCTCGCGTGGCAGCCGTTCCTGGGGAGAATCCATCTGGAAATGTGGGAGCAACAGGGACATCCAGCAGCACTGGCCTCCAAGAGACATCTGTGCCCAACCCCACGGGCAGAGCCAAGCCAGGGGCTACAGCCCCCACTGACAGGGGACCCCATGGATGCGGGTACCCCCTCAATGTCCTGGCAGAGAGGGGGGACTGAGGCAGGGAGCTGGGTCCTGAGCAGCAGTGCTGGGCGAGAGGCATGGCTCTGTGGGCAAAGGGCTGGTCTCCGGGCTGCCCCTCACATACCTACGCACACACGCACATGGATGCACATGTGCACACACACGCATCTGCACACCAAGCCTGCTTGTCCCATCCCACCCAGGGAGCCCTGGGACGAGGCTCCTGGCACCAGCCCTGACCCCATTTGCTCCATCATCATCCAGAGATCAATTCCGTGTGCTGGGATGGAGCCAGTGCTGGGCAGCAGGGCCAGTGGCACCAGCAGCTCAACCAGCCCCACTCTGGCAGGGCTCCCAGGCAGGAAGGGGACATGGCAGCCCCACAGCAATGCCCACCCAGGCCCCCTCCCATCGCTGGGGTGAGCGGGGGGCAGCCCCAGGCAGGAGCAGGCAGCACTGCCCAAGCAGGGTTCAGGCCCCGTCCCTCTCGGTGAGGCCGCCTGCCGGCTCCCAACCTGGCAGCATTTCACCTCCATGCATGGAATAAACATCTTCTCGTCCGGCTGGGCAAGGGGCCCCATGCGGACGATGGAGGGGAGGAAGCAGGGGGTGTGGGTGGGGACCTTCGGGGCCAGGGACTGCAAAACCCGGCTGGGAAGGTGGCTAGGGAGCCCGACCCTGGGGTTTGGGTGGGGCTTTGCCTCCCCGAGGCCAGGCACAACCTGAGGAGGGGAGAGCAGAGGGGCTCTGGCTTTGCCCTGGGGCTGAGGCGAGTTTGGTGCTAGGGGAGTGGGTCGGGGGCTCACGTACCCCCCGGCATCACTGCTTCCTCCGGACAACCTGGCGGAGGTGCAGCTCGCTCTCTGCAGCCACGATGGGCTGCTCGTTCTGCCGGTGGTGGCTGATGAGGTGGCTGATGCTCTCAAACAGCACGTCCTTGGTCCTCACCTGGGGGCCGGGGGGCACAGCGGTCCTGAACCCAGGAGAGCTGCCTCCCACCCCCCAGCATCCCCTCCCACCCTGCCCTTCCCCCCCATCCCCCATCGCCCACCCTGCGCCCTGCCCTTACCACGCCCTCAGGATCCACCAGCAGCAGGTGCTTGGGCTGCCCGCTGTGCATGCCGGTCAGCACGTACTGCCCGGGGTTGGTGAGGCTGTCCCGCACCAGGAAGTCCCCGTCTGTCTGCAGGAGCCTCTCAGCGTCCCGCCGGCTCATCTTCCCATGGTACCACGGCTCCCGCCTGAGCTGCTCCTCTGTGGGGGCGATGGGGGCTTTCCGTGTGGGGGGGCTCGGCCACTGGTCCTCGATGGGGGGGCTGCTGCTGCCCCCAGCAATGCACTCGTGGAGTTTCAGGGCATCCTCAAACGGCCCTGTGGGAGCCAGGAAGTGTGGGGCGTCACCCCTCGGGGCCCAAAGCACAGCTGGGGCACGGTGGGGACAGGGACGGGCTGAGCGGTGGCAGCAGGACCCGGGGTTACAGCCGGACCCACCTCCAGGCCAGACCCCGCTGCGCCATGGCTGCCCTGGGCATGATGCTGCGCATGATGCTGCGCATGCACCCAGGCACGGAGGGGACGGTGTCCCCCTGCACCAGCACGGCTGCCCCCTCCATGAGGCCAGGCAGGATGGGTGGACAGGGTGCCCACCCGCAGCCCTGCCCCGAGCACGGCACTGCTGCCCCGGCAAGGGCAGGTGAGGATGGGGCCCTGGCTCACGGCCACCCAGCCCCCAGCACTCAGCACGGTGCTGCTCTGGGCTCAGCCAGCGCGGGCACTGCCGGGGCTGTGGCACGTGGCTGGGCAGCCCACCGGCATGGCTTGGCCCCTCTGCAGCAGGTCCTGTGCCATACCCCCAGCCCAGTGGCTTACTCATATCAAAGAGGTCCTTTTTGGGGCTCTCCTCCGGCACCCCGTGAGCTGCCACCTCCGGCTCCCAGGCGTCCAGGCTCTGTGTGTTCACGTACATGTGCTCCTCATACTCTCGTGGCCCCAGGGGGTGGCCGTCCGCCTGCAGGTACCCGTCGCAGGGCTGGCCTGCAAGGACTGGGCATCACTGCCAGCCCGGGCAGGGCAGAGCTGTGGGGACCCCCACTCACGGTCCCTGGGGTCCCCCCGTGATGGTACCTACCCTGGCTCTCCAGGTCCCAGGGTGGCCCTGGCTGGCTGCTCTGGTCTCGCCTGGCTGCAAACCCGCCCTGGGGAGAGGAGACAGTGAGGGGTGTCGGGGGACCTGGTTGGGACCCCCACAGCAGGGCCGGCAGTGGCCACAGGGGCTCACCTGGCTGGGGGGGCCGGAGCTGGAGGGCTGAGTGCGAATGTGGCCCAGGATCATGCCGTGCCGGAGCCGAGAATCGATCAGCCCCCCCGGGGGTGGCTCCTTCCCCGGGATGCTGTTGTAGTAATCGTGCTCGGCCGCCTCCTCGTCCTCCCCCCAGGCCAAGTCCTCCGCACCCAGTGTCCTGCAGCACGGATGGGCGAGCTGGGGACATCCTGCTCGGCTCAGAGCCCTCCCCAGGCCGGGCAGGGATGGGGGCTCCCAGAGCGACCCCCAGCCAGGGGACATTCATGGGACAGGGGGTGCGGGGCTGTGGCGGGGCCCCGTGCCCCCCTACCTGTCTGGGGGTGCCACCACCTTGGGGGGGCTGTGCAGGTACTGCTTGAAGCGCAGCTCGAAGGCCTGTCCCACCGTGCTGATGACGCTCTGAGCCAGCCCCTCGCAGCACTCCAGGACGTGGCAGGCTGCGGACAGATGGACGGATGGCTCGAGCATTTCCCCCACGCTCTCATCACCCCTCCGGGACCACCCTGAGCCACCTCTCATGCCCCCCACAAGGGATCCCCTCCTCCAGCCTTCATCCCCCAGCGCATCCCTCCTCTTCTGCAGAGCTCCCGGGTGCAGGGGCCAGCGTCACCTCTCTGGTTGATGGGGTCCTTGGCGACGTAGGCGACATAGTCTGTGGTGTCCTGGGGGCAGAGGGGGAGCTCAGGGCCTGCGTCCCGCTGCTGTGCAGGGAGCAGGGCTAGGGCCACTGGGGCAAGGGGACGGGCTCGGCCCCAGCCCCACGTCCTGCCCCGGGACCAGGCTGCCCTGCCATTCGGCTCGGCCATAAGACAGGCAGCCCCTGTCCCCGCTGCCCCCAAGGGACTGCGGACGGGGGAGGGCTGGGGCGCACGTGCCTCACCGTGTCCCCGCCGGAGGCGAAGGAGATGGATTGCATGTGGTGGTTGGCGATGATCTGCAGGGGGGACGTGGCCCACGGGGGGTTAGTGTGGGGGCCACCAGCCCCCCAGCTCGCAGCAGGAGGCAGAGGGCTGGGAGGTGGCGGGGCCACGTCCCCAGGGACGGCTCTCACCTGGCGTGTGGTGGGGATCATGAGGTTCAGCCCGTCAACAGAGATGTTGACAGCGATGCTCATGCCAGCAAAGCGGAGGTTGCTCTTGCCCAGGATGGAGAAGAGGGCTTTGTTGGGAGCCTGGTGGGGGAGAGGAGCATGGGGGCGATGCAGGCCCCCAGGACCAGGTTTCCTGGGGTGAATGAGGCAAAGAGCGGTGCCCCGAGAGACCCCAGGCTCTGCCCCACGAACTAGTCAGGCACCCCCAGCACCCTGTCCCACAGCCCTGGCTCGCACCAGGAAGGAGCCCGGGGGGGGGACAGGCTGGGTGCAAACTCACCTTCTTCTTCCAGATGCCCTTCACACCCGGCACCGCCTCATACAGTCTGTTGATGGCTTCCCTGCAAGCCATGGCCCCCAGCTGGGTTACTGTGGCAGACCCCGGCCCCTTCCCGGCCACCTCCCTGCCCACAGCTCCGTGGGGTCTGGGGGCATCAGCCCACGCAGCCCCAGGCACCGCAGTGTCCCGCAGCGCTGCCCCACGTCATGGGCCTGCGGTACGTAATCCCAGCTGGGGCCACCTCCCTTCTCCTCTTTCCGCCCATTGATCCGCGGCAGTGCCCTTCGTCCACGTCCCCATGCGCGGGGTGGATCCCATGGGGCAGGGCTCCCCCAGACCCTGGCCCCGTGTCTCCCCTCCTCCGCAGGGCCCCAGGGAGGGGGAGCATCCAGGGCCACCGGGGGCTCCACGTGGCAGCAGGGTGTGGGAGAGCGGGGCCGTACCTGGTGACCTGTGTCCGGGTGTTGAAGTCGAGGGACCTCATGGAGCGCAGCACCTCGATGCACCCCATGTACTGCGGGGGGGACGTGGTCAGAGCAGCCCACGGCAGGCGATGGAGAGGAGAGGAGGAGCCGGGTGTCGATGAGAAGGGCCCCTTCGATGCGAGCTCCAAAGCTCTCGCCCCAACACACGGCACCCTTTCACCCTCCACCCCAAAATGCCCCACTGCACACCCAGACCCCGTGCCGAGACCCAACAAACTCATCCGTGCATTATGGCTTGTGCCGCCCTCACAGGGGCTGGCTGCCGCTGGGTCCTGGGGCTGGCTCCCCGGCACACAAAGCCCCCCCGGCCCCCGTCCTCTCCCAGGCTGGTTCGGGGGGCTGTGCCGCCCCTACCGGGGTGGGCCCGA